AAAAACAATACAGTTATTAGTAAGAAGAGTCGAAATTAATGCATGGCTTGTTAACTTTCATGCCTTCAAAACTAAACTGCTATCTTTTAATCATCTGAGAGACCCCTCTCTGCCTTCCATCAGCATGACTAATGCTAACCACCTGGAAAGTGACTCGTTTCACCTTCTCAGACTCTACTTTCTAGGCTTATATGAAGTAAAACACTTTATTGAATCTATTACTAGGTTAGCTGCTAAAAAAGTTAATTCCCTATATCGTGTGAGACAATTTCTCTTTGTCCTTTTCATACATATTCATTCATTTTTTTTTTTTTAAGCATTTCACCCCAAGCAAGGCGGGAAGCCACTAGGACGCAAGGGGTTACAGAAAATAGGAAGATCAGATAGGAGTGATAGAAGAAAGGATGAGGGTAGTAGATAGATTAAGGCAACTGGAGATGTCGATTGACATTACACTTGAATAGCTGGAGATTATAACTCTCAGGGAAACAGGAGAAGGGAAGAGAGTTCCACAGGCGAGAGGTGCGAGACATGAAGCTATTAGATTAGAAGAGACGGCTACATTTAGGAGTTTCGACAGTGAAGGGGTGAGAGCGGGATGCCAGCCTCGTAGGGCGCTTGAACTCATGAAGTTTGGGAACCAGCGAATGCAGTTCCTCGGAGCAATTTCCATGAAAGTATTTGTAGAACAGACAGAGGGAGGCGACGGTACGTCTGTGAGAAAGTGACTGTAGACGAGACGCCAGGGCAGGGCCAATTATATTGCATATCCGCTTCTGGAGCCTATCAAGAACCCTGAGGCAAACAGAAGGGGCGCCAGACCATATATGGCAGCAATACTCCATACAAGGGCGAATTGTGGATTTGTATATCTGGAGGATCGACTCAGGGGAGAAAAAACTTCCTAGCGCGGCTCAGGAGCCAACTTTCCTCGCAGTGGACGAGGCAATTGACTCGATGTATTTGTTCCATCTCAGGTCAGCAGTCAACGTGAGACCGAGGAAGCCGCAGAGAGTTGCTCTTGGACGAATGATGGACTTATAGATAAGTCTATCATTCGTCCATGCTTAGAATATCGGTGCGCCTGCGTAAACTTGTCTTCCTCTGTCTTTTCTATAAATACTTATATTGTAATTGTTCGGAGGAGGTCTTCGCTGTGGTACCTCAACTTTTTGAATTCAAGCGCAGTACAAGACTGGTGATGAAGCAATTTACAGTTGAGTTCTCTAGATGTAACCGTAAATTCTATGCTCACAGTTTCTTTTCACGCACTTCTCGTTTGTGGAACCCCCTCCCGGTTCCTTGCTTTCCAGCAAACTTTAATCTTCAAAAATTTAGACGCAATGTCAATATATATCTACTGTCCTCCTGATTACTCTTTTTGTATTTGCTCATTAGTAATGTTTCTGTTTCTAATTCTTCCACGCCCAGTAACCGTTTGTGTCTTTAGTAGTGATCTCGATTTTAAAAATAAATGCAAAGTCAGCTTTTTCTCTCGTATGCCATCTTATATTTCGATGATTGCGTCGTACCACTTCTTGTTTGTTCCTGTTAAACAATTTACCTGCTAGTATATTGCCCAAAAACTTGCGGCAAATTGATTAAGCAACACCTATATCCACTACATTACCGACACGTAGGATATCATTGGCGTATTTTTAAAGCCTTTAAATCTAATGTCAGATGTTTTTGTCATTTGGTTATCAGGCTGGATTGGTGGTTGGTTTGGTTGATTTTGTTTAGCGGTATATCAATCTCTATGGCTTATTTAATGCCGAAAATATTTTGAACGCAGTTGCATGCCTTCAACTACTGATAAAACATTGTTGGTCATTTTGCTATAAATATGCATTGTAGTAATTTTACTATAAAAATGTATTGATGGTAACATTACTATAAAATGTATTGCTGGTAATTTACGATAAATATGTATTGTTGGTAATTTTACTATAAATAGGTATTGCTGTTAATTTTACTATAGAAAATTATCTTTATACTTTCATAGTATTTTGTTCTAGTTTTGGGGTTCACTATTTGCCCATAGCTGGGACCCTAACAGATACTACCTTCCCTGGTCAAAGTGGACCTATGAACAACAGCAATTAAGTTCTACGCTACTCAAAACCTCTAATCTCCTGATCAGAGTTATTGCTGCCAGATGTAGTTAATTGTCATACAGAGGACTAGGTTGGTTTGTACAGCTTCTTTTTTTTTTTGTTTTGTTTGATTTTTGAAATGATAAACTATCAATATATTTTTACTTATTCGTTTGAGTCTAAATAGTGCTCTTATCTTTATTATATATTTCATATTAGTGGCTGCTCGTATCTGAGTATGCCTGTCTTCTAGCGTGGCTAGCCGATCACTGTTACAAACGCCTACTCAGGCATATTTGTGGTTGTTATATGTCTATATTAGTTTGGAAATACCACTAAGCGCTTGTTAGCTTATAACTGAACACCAGGAAGCAAAATTTTACGATGTTGTGAAAATCGTATAGATAAATCGAGAACAGGCAATATAGATTGCGTGAAGATATGGAGTAATGGATAGCGACTCGTATAGAAGAATCAGCGAGCCGAGTTCGAATTCCAATACATTCACTTACGTTCTAATACCCTTGGGAAAAGTATGAATCCTCTTCTTCTCCCCCAGCTATGTTTAAACTAGCAGACCAGACTAGGTTTCTATAGACTTGGATGGCAACTGGTCTACTGCAGAAAGAAATGGCAACCTACTGCGGGAAAAATCTGCCTCGTCAGTCATGTATCAAAAGATACATGATCGCCTAAGCGTGTATCACGCATGTCATATAACTGACTGAAAGATGCATACCATATTTCCCGTATGCTAAGACGCATTTTGTTCCTAAAAAATCACTATGTGTCATAGCACTTAAAGGTCAAGCTGTAGAGATGTGTTTGCCAACCATCACGAACCCCAGCTACGAGATACAAGTAATCACGCACACCCGATATATAATATATTAAATCCTCAAATATTTTTTTCAAAAAATACCTAGCTAGTTGTAGGATACATCTTAGCATACAGGAAATACGGCAAATACGTCCAGAGGAGGAGAAATATCAATAGGAATTGGGAAAGGTAATTACAACTCACTAATTTCACAAAAACCAGAGCTTATATTCATTGAATATGTCTGTATGGTTTTCGTCCTTCGGCAACGTATCATTACATTTTAATTGAAACATAAATAAGTGAAGCAAAAGACATCTTGTCTTTACGTTTGCTTCAGGTCTATTCGGGGTATATCCATTTAAATATGTATATATATTGTGATTTTTCTAAGCGTAGTATGATGTGGCACAAGGCCGAAAGTATAGGGTCAGTCAGTGACGATAGAACTCACTATTCAGTTGTAATTGTTCTGCTGAGACAAGATTACTAACAAATTAATTACATTACGCCGAGTGTTTTTTATATTATATATATATATATATATATATATATATATATATATATATATATATGTGTGTGTGTGTGTGTGTGTCAGGTGGGTGCATGTGTGTGTGCATCTATAAATTACAAGTGTATATATGTATATATATACATGTATATATATATATATATATATATATGTGTACATATGTATATATATATATATGTGTGTTTTTATATATATATATATATGTGTGTGTGTGTGTGTGTGTGTGAGGGTGCATGTGTGTGTATGTATCTATATGTATATATATATATATATATATACATGTATATGTATATATATATATATATGTACATATATATATATATATATTTTATATATATATATATATATATATATATATATATATATATATATATATATATATATATATATATATATATATATATGTATGTGTGTGTTTGTGTGTGTATGTATATATGTATATGTATGCATACTGTTTCTTTTTCTTTTTTGTATTTCTTTAAGTTAAACATGAATTTCACTTTCATGATTCCGTCTTTTTCTTTCCCTTTTTCCCCTCTCTCTTGCTCTCTCTCTCTCTCTCTTTCTCTCTCATATCATACCCTTTCTTTCTCTCTTCCTGCCATAATGTTATCTCTGCGTTTTTTTCCTACCTCCTTCTCTTAATTCCTCTCCTTCTCTCTCTCACACACTCTTATGGTGGTCTTCTAAGCGTAGTTTAGACGTGGCACAAGGGCGAAAGTATAGACATCCAGTGAGATCGAACGCACTACTTAATCGTAACTGCTCTGGCAAGACAAGCTTGCTAACGATAACACCGCACGGTGGAGTAATGGATAGTCGCCTGGATTGTGGAATCGGAGAGCCGAGTTCGAATTCCAGTCAAATCCATTATATTCACTTACATGCTAATACCCTCATCTTCTCTCCCAGCTATGGCTAATTAGCAGGACAGATCTGGTTCTATAGCCTTTGATGGCAACTGGTCTAGGAGAAGGACAACTTTGAATTCAAAAACCCGCGAAAGGTTGTTTGGCAACCTTGTGGCACGTAGTGCACCGGGTCTATATTTGGACCTTCAAAAAGTGTTGCTGGTCCTGCACAAAGCCTCCACCACCATAACCAAATCATATGTGTTGGTTCCTGGGAACTGTTTGACCCTCATACGTCGAATTTGACGGGAGAGTTCAGTATATATATATATATTGAAAAATTAAAATCTTCAAACACACTGGGTTGTATATTAATATTCTTTCGTTTTTATTATTATTTCATTTAGATTCCTCGACATCAGGAGAAAAAAAAAATTCTGCTTGCTGGTAGCAGTGAACTACAGAAATGAATGTCTTGATAGAGAAAATGAACTTCTGTATATATATATATATATAGAGAGAGAGAGAGAGAGATGTTAATTAGTAGGACTTGTATCAGGTAAATTATTATTCTCTCTCTCTCTATATATATATATATGTATATATCTTTTCCCAAGTGTATTTGCACCTAAGTGAATATAACGAACTCGATCGGAATCGAACTCCAGCTTTTCGATTTCCATAGCACATCCAAGCTTAATGCACCTGGTATTCCCAAGCGGTCACCCATCTAGCTACTGACCAGTTTCAGTGTTGCTTAACTTCAGTGATCGTACGTGAATCGATGTTTTAACGTGATATGGCCGTAAACATGAAAATTGGTAAACACTATATGTCAGCTTATAAAGCATTCACAAAGATAATAGACACACGCACACACACGCACACACACACACACACACACACAGAGACAGACAGACATATCTATATGCATGTATTGTGTGACAAAAATAACTGACACAAATTTCATTTGTGTGCGATGTATATTTTTGTGAAGCTTATTTCTCGTGAGTTTTTAACTAGCATAAAATAAACTGACTCTCAATACAAAAACCTTGTATTTTCTTTTGTTTTTGTTTATGCTAGGATTAAATGATTTTTTTTATTTCTTAAGAGTCCATCAAATTTTATGAAGAGACGATTCCACTGGTTGCCTGAGGTAGAACAGTCAGCTAAGCTACCCACTCTTTTTTTAATTCATTTCACCTCAAGCCTCTAAGAGTTGAGGAGTTGCTGAATGCGAAAGAATATAAGAAAAATAAATCATTATTAAGGAAACAGAAAAATAAATGAAAAGAATTTTTTAAAAAAAAAAGATGGTAATTGACAAGGTATTTAAATATTTAAAGTCTTACAAAAACTTTAAAAGAATGGTGAACAAATATATTTACATTAGTTTTTTGTGTCTATGTGAGTAGGCCCATAAAAAAATACACATTACATGAGGGTCGACTTGCTAACATGTCTAATTTAGATATGGCACAAGAACGAAAGTGTGAAGCACTCAGTGAGAATCAAATTCACTATTCAGTTGTAATTGATCTAGAGAGACAAGCTTGTTATCTATCACACTACGTCGAGTGTCGAAACATGATTTTCTTAGCTTATCTGTGGAACAAGACCGAAAGTATAGGGCAGTCAGTGAGGATCGAACTCACTATTCAGTCGTAATTGATCTAGCGAGACAAGCTTGCTAAACACTACAACACATCGAAGTGCCCCGACTAGTTAAGTTGGAGTTGTGATTGAATTAATGAGAACATAATTGAGAGAGTTTATTTTGAGTTATCCTCCATCGGATAATAAGAAAGTCACGTAAAGACAAAAGCCATAAAACAAAAAGAAAAGAAACATGCAGTCGGATATAAGTAAGTAAGAAAAATATACCAAATGTTTATTTCCGATGTATATTTGTCTGCAGGAATATCGTTTTTTTTTATTATTATTTTCGGGCAAAAACAACAATTTTAAGTGATTTACATTTAATGCTACGACATTTTGCTTTTGCTAAAAACATTTCCGCGGGCTGTGTTTTTGTAGACATATAATTCCGGTATTGAAGAATGAGCCGAAACTGAAAAAAATATTCCTGAAATATATGAACACAGAAACACAAACACATAAACTATCACTTGCACAGATACAGGAAAACAGACACATATTTCATACATAAACACATACAGCCATACATAAAGAAATGCATATTAACTGAAATACCTACTGAGGTGACTCGTTTACATATGAAGTCACTATAAATAGCCACGGCTATTACCCATGAGACAGTTGAATGTATACTACTTCCCCTGAGTCAGTAACTCTACACTATAAGCGAAGAATCGGACGAACTGAATAATTATGAATTCACACAAGCGCGGCTTAGGATACTAGCAGCTAATGCTAAAACAAAATGTCTGAAGGATTTGAAATCATTTGGCGAAGAAAACCAACTAACTGACCTCTTGTTTGCAACCGCTGGTTGTGAGGCTATTATAAAATTATCAGTAATTGCACACCCAAGACAGTTAGAGGAAAGGAAGTTTGACGATATAAGCCAAGAAATAGTGAAAAAAAAGCACCCAAGAAAAAATTAGTGGATGCAGAGAAAGCTAAGTTTACGAATATTTCTCAAAAACTGAATGAACCAGTTATGGAATATGTTCTTCCTTTAAAACAAGCCGCTATATATTGTGAATTTGAGAAACTAAGATCAGAAAACCAGTCAATGGAAGAGGATTTGATCCAAATGAAATTCGTAAACGGCCTTCAAAACGAGCAATTCAAATTGGCAAATGACTAATGCATTTACAGCTGGGAAATTTGTCATTAGATCAGTGTGTCGAATTTGTTCAGCAAACAAGAATTAATTCGAAAATTTAATACAACAAAAGTTACGGATCCGGTAGAGGAAATGGACATACACGATAAAGAAAAAAGGCAAAATAATGTGTACCTTTTGTGTATATTGACATCAAAGAGGGAATAAAATGCCCGGCATATAAAAAAAATGTGAAATGTATTTCAAAATGAATCTTTTAAAACGTTTTTTTAAATCCCAAAAGAAAAACGTAAAAAAAAAGTGAAAAAGAATTATTGAAAATTCGAATCAATAATATTTTATTGGACATGCAACTGGATACGGAAATGACGTAACATTGATACCCAGAAATTCCTGGAAGAAATTGGGAAAGCCAAGGCTAAAGAAAAGCCTTGTTCAATTGAATCAGTTCAACGGATCCGTGATAAAAAAAAGCCTACCTGGAACTAAAAATAAGTTTGCCATATTACAAATTATCGTGGTAAAACATGAAAAAAATCATGGTCTAATAGGAAACGATGTATCGAATATAGATTCGACAAAATTAATGAACAAAGTCAAGAAGAAGCCGGAATTTTAAAAAAACTATGAAGCAAAGTCAAGACTAAAGGAAAATGTCTCCCTATCATATTTTGAAGCACGAAAAGTGCCAGTCCATCTGCTACCAATAGTTAAGGAATGACTAAAAAAAATTGAAACAAGATCTACATGAAGGAGTTCGGTCGAGGAAGCAACTATATAAGCAGTTTTTCAGAGTCTTTTTGATACGTGGTCTTTCAAGGAGTAGGTGTTCATTTCTTCTTCTAAGTATTTCAGATTGCATGTGTTCATTACACATCCTATCTGTTTTTCAAAATGTACGTGTTCATTACTCTCCCTATGGTCTTTTTGAACCTACGTATTAATTACTCGCACTATTGGAATTACACTTCCTATGTTCTCTCAGAATGTACGTGTTCATTACTCGCCTTGTGTACTTTCATAATCTACGTGTTCATTACTCTCCCTACGTTCTTTCAGAACTTACGAGTTCATTACTTTCCATATGGTCTTTCAGAATGTATGTGTTCATGTTACCCATATGTTCTTTAAAAAAGGTACGTATTCATTAACCACCTAGGGCTTTCTGAACTTAAGCGCTCATTACTTGCTCAATATTCTTTCAGAACATACGTATTTATTACTCTCCATATCAATTTTTCAGGACGTTCGCGTTCAGGACTCTAACTATGTTCTTTCTGAACGCACGTGTTAATAATTCTAAACATGCGCGTTCATTACTCGCATTATGTTCATTACTCTCCCTATGTTCTTTCAGAACTCACGTGTTCATACACACCCTATGTTTGTTCAGAACCTGCCTGTTCATTACTCTCCATAAGTACTTTCAGAAGCTACTGGGTCATTACTTCGCCTATGGTCTTACGGGCGCTATGTATTCATAATTTTCCCTGTGTCATTTTTTGTCCGAACGTTCGTGTTCATTACTTTCATATGTTGTCCGACCTCGGTATGACGATAAATTACATCCACTTCATGGGTATGATGATAAACTACGTCCAACAGCAAGGCCACTGATCAGAACATTTTGAGAAGTGTGGAACCACCTGTTAATTGCTGGAGTTCCCAGGTCCGCCCTGACCCGGGTTGGTCACACTTCTTAAGGTCCCAGCTATGGGTAAATAATTAACCCCCAAACTGGGGTCAAAACATTATGAAAGTGTAAAAATAGGTTTTAATACCAGAAATACTTTGTAAAAAAAAAATATTACCAGTAATACATTTTTGAAAAAAAAAATATTACCAGTAATACATTTTTGAAAAAAAAAATATTACCAGTAATGTTTTTGAAAGAAAAAATATTACCAGAAATACATTTTTGAAAAAAAAATATTATTACCAGCGATACATTTTTGAAGTAAAAATATTACCAGAAATAGATTTTTGACAAAACAAAATATTACCAGCAATAAAAATTTTGTCGGCATTAAATAACACATTCAGGTTGATATACCGTAAAATAAACAAAAGAAGCAACCAAACATATGTTCTTTCCGTACATTTGTGTTTATTACTCCACATAAGGGCGTAAACTGAACGTATGTGTTCATTATTTTCCCCAGGTTATTTCTGAACGTAAGTGTTTATTAGCCTCCCTCTGTTCATTCAGAATCTACGTGTTCATTACTCTCCCTATATTCTTTCTGAAATTGTGAAAGTACGTGATCATTACACTCCCAATGTTCTTTCAGAATACATGTATTAATTACTGTCATCATAGTCTTTCAGAATGTACGTGTTTATTAGTCTCCATATTGGCTTTCTGAAAGTACATACGTGTTCATTACTTTCCCTATTTTCTCGCATGACCTACGTTTTGATAATTTTTTCCTATATTCTTTCTAAACGTGTAGATTCATTACACTATGTTCTTTCAGAAATCACGTGCTTATTTCTGTCCATATGTTATTTCTGGCCGTACGTGTTCATTACTCTCCTTATGTTATTTCCTTGCTTAGGTGTTCATTACTTTTCCTGTTTTCCCAGAACCTACATGTTTATTGCACTCCCAATATTCTTTCTGAACGTATCTTTTCATTACTCTCCACGTGTTCTTTCACAACCTACGTGTTCCTTACATTCTCTGTTATTTTTGAACCTATGCTTTCATGACTCTCCCCATCTTCTTTCAGAATGTACGTGTTCATTACTCTCCCTATGTTTTTTTTAGACCGTTCGTTTTCATTAATCACCCTATATTCTTTCAGATTATACCTGTTCATTACACTTCATATGTTTTTTACTAAAAACCAAATTTTGCATTGCGACCTATTCTATCCACGGGTCAAAGAAACAAAGACAAGATCTGTTGATTAGGTTCATTTATTTATCATCGACACTTTATATCTATATTTCTTATGATATAATTACATGAATTATTCATACAAAAAACAAATATAGAGGTTAATGATTTAAATGGCGAGAATACATCTT